GCTGAAATTTTATGCTGGAGTAATTTTATTATAGTACTTGACAAAAGTCTTGATGAACTCATGGTTAGGGATAAAGTGAGTATGAAAAAAGCTAAAGGCCAAGTTTATGATTTTATTATTGCGCAAAATCCTGGTATTAAGCGTGAATCACTATATAAGAAAATCGAAAGAGCTAGAAAAATTTACAGGTTATTCGAAAAAATAGGTTTAGATAAGGTTCAATATATTAAATCATATAGTGCTAATGCTATTTCAAAATTTACTAATTCTCAGATTCAAACGATCATAGACCACTTCACCAAAAAGCCTGATATAGAATATACTGATGATCAGGACAATTCTTCAGATGATTTACCCGAAGCTGAGGTAAGTGAGGAAACCAAGAAAACTTTACCGGAAACTGAGATAAGTGTATTGCCTGAGAAGGTATTACCAGAAATTCGGGTAAGTATTTCTCCTGAAGAGACAAAGTCTCAAGTCTCGGATTCATCTGATTCCGCCGATTCAAATTTTCCAGAAATCAAGATATTAGAAGATACAAAAGCCAATGATAGTAAAGCACAATCTTTAATTACTGTTTTATCCGACGATGAGCCAGAAAATTTCTCTGATGACGAAGAATTCACCAATGATAACGAAGAAGATGGGAGTTTCTGTGGTTTCACTGATGACGATGATGAAGGTTATTATTATGATTTAAATACCGGCGAAACTTATACAAAATCAGAACATCGTTATTCAATTCGCGCATATTAATAATGACGTAATACTAATTCTCCAAATAAAAATTCATTTCGCAGAAAAATAATTAATACTTTGCTAGTTATATATTACAGTTTTGGTCAGATACACATAAAAATAAAAAATGGCGGGGCACGAAACCCCTCTTTTTATTTCATAAAGATTATTGCCGGGATGACAATATACAAATAAAAAAAATATTTATTTTTACTACTTTGGATTTATAATGAATACTGCATTATCAAGATCTTCAGGTTTTTTAAAAATTTCAAATAATTTCTCCCCTGGTTTAATATCTCGTATGTAAGCGATTCTTTTGACTGGAATTTTAAAGTGTGCTTCAATCTTTGCTTTTGTTTCTTCGTATGTATAACCCCACTTAACTACTTCACGATATTTACGGGATGAAAATTCAAGCACGGTATCAAATTCATCGGGAAGTGTGGCCATTTTTCCTAAATATAAAATTTTAATAAGTTTCGCTTTCATAGTTTTTGCTATAAATGTCACAACCTCA